TATCTGATAATCTTAGTGACTACTTTGAAGATAACAATATGCAATATAAAAAACCATTGTTAATTTCTTATCACCTTGTTTTGAAATTCTGTATCATTTTTATTGTTCTGTTATTCTGTTAGAAAAGCACACTGTACATTTACCCTCACAGAAGGTGCAGGGCACAGCCACTACTGTAAAGTGATGATGTCAGCATAGTCTTCTCAGGAGGGATGACGTAAAGCAGGGTGAAGCCCTTGTGGAAAATAATTGTGTTCATTATTTGGTGCCAGAATTGGTGCAGTATCTTAGGGAACCCTTTGAAAGGGAAATAAAACAAGCCTAGATAGAATCTCATCACGCTCTAGCTATGCCAGACACTTAAAATCCTTGCTTAAGAGTTTCTCTCGCAGTTCAGTTAGCTCAGGGTGGCTTCCTGTGTTCCTGTGACTGGGTCACTGCCTGCTTGTTTGGTGTCTCATCATTCTTTCTTTTCAGTAGTTTATGCCTTGTCTCTAACAGATTCCCTTTAATTCATTCAAAACTTTTTTTCTGGCTTCCATTGTGGGCATTCTAATAAGCAAATCTTGGCTTGAAGCCGTCTTGCTCTCAACCTACCCTTTCTTTATAATCGCAGTGATTTACCCACTTTGCAAATTTTACAAGCTTCCTTGACATTTCATGATCAGAATAAATGCCTTAACTTTGTGTTCCAATAGGTCCTGGAATGGAATTTATCAAACTTTGCTGAAATGTTGTGTTTAAAAATCTATTCTTTGCTAGCATTTTAAATTCTTAAGAGTGGGGATCAAAATTTTCTGTCCAGTCTAATTTACCTTCAATGCCTAATACAAGTGTAATGCCTCATACAAGTGTAATACCTAAAGTGCAAATGAATGTATTAATGACCAACCTAAAAATATCAGAATTGATAAGTAGCAAGATGCAATTTTGAGGAGGTCGTTACAGGAATGAATACTCAGAAATCCTTGGAATCTTGTAATATTTTTGTTAGTTGTTATAAATTATCATAACAGATGAGTTTAATAGTATATGAACACTCCACCAAGAGTTTGGGGCTTAGACATTGTCAAAGGGTCAGTGATGGTAAAGCTCATCATTTGCTATTTTGAAACAAATCTTTAATAATAATTCTTCTCCATTCTTGGTCTTTTAGAGTAGTCATATTCCATACTTAGTTAACCTATAAAAGAGAATGAAGGGCTGGGGATTTAGCTCAGCGGCAAAGCGCCTGCCTGGCAAGCGCAAGGTCGTGAGTTCAGTTCCCGGTACCGGAGAAAAACCAAAAAAAAAAAAAAAAAAAAAAAAAAGAGAGAATGAAAAACAGACTAGTTGAAGCTCTTAACTGACTTTCCCATAGTATCACTGGTGGCTTGGTTACTACTCAAGATTCTGGAGTTATTTAGCTATTTGTTGAGGGCCAGGTTTATGCTAGACTCAGCTATTAGAAAGGACACTTATGAGTAACGTTTTAGTTATTTTTCTCGTTGCTGAAACAAAACACCTGACACCCAAAGTCAGCGGAGGAAAGGTTTATTTAGCTCACAGTTTGTAGTGCCTTTAGTTCATTGTTGGCCGGCTCCAAGGCAGCAGGACACGGCAGAGGGGCATCACAGAGGAGAGACAGTTCATGGTGCACAGAAGACGGCTAAGCAGCAAAGTAACTGGGAAGCCAGCAGCAAGTAGTCAGTGGCAACCCTGTTTCTGTCCCTTATGTTTCAGTCAGGCTATGTGTTCTTAGGGCGGGTAGCGCTCACACCCAGTTTGAGGCACCCTTAATCCTGCCCAGAATTATGCCAAACCAACTGGTGGGCTAATTTAGCAATCACACACCCTTGGTCTCAGCATCACACACTCTAGGTCCGGCCATCTCTGAAAAGTCCCACATTTGACTGGGAGAGGCTTTAGGCGAAAGATCTAGATAAAAGCCATAACAATTTAGAAATAGTATTTCCAAATTTTATGTGTGAAAATGGTCATAAAGAACAATTCAGAGGACATAACATTTTGGTCAATCACAGATTTTTTTCAGAATTGCTAATGTGGGAAACTGAAAAGTTATAAATTAAAGTGTTAAAAGAATTTTAAATACTAAACATATTTTCTTTTATTTAAGAAAAATAATTTCTTTTCATTTTATGGTGAAGATAGTTATTTGAAGTACAGTTCATGGAGTTCTTTAATTTAGTTTAATATGGGAAAAACTTTAGATAATTTATTATGAATTATCTTTAATATTTGCTTTTAGACATAACATTAAAACTGATTTTACATTCAAGCAGAATAACTACATGAAGATACTTTAAATCCCACTTCTCAGACATAAGAATACAGTGAAATTAGTTTACTGAAAAAGGATATTTTGAGTATGGATAGTGATTCTGACTTTAAAATGCTGTGCTGTGAACTGGCCGCACCACCAATCCTGTTATGCATATGTGCAGTGGACACTTTTTTCTTGTGGGTGGAACTACCTGCTGTGTGGTTGTTTAAAATGTAAATCAGGTATATATCACTAAACAACACTTCAAAATCAGTAAACTTCCATTTATTTATAGTTCCTGATCAAGAAGAACTTACATGGTGTGACAGCCTCCAGTCATTGTGTACAATTTCCTCTCCAAGCACGAGTCAAACATGTGTCTCCATATCCTTTATGTGACTCTTCAGTGGAGCATCCAAGAATTCCATTTCCTTTTTCCTTGGTACAGTCTGTTCTTTAAGAAGACTGAGTGCCTCTTCCAAACTCCAGGCCTTACTTGTTCCAGCTTAATACATTTACTTTTATTTTCCATTCTGATAGCATAATATATCTCTTAACTAATTCATATCTTCTCTCATAATCTGAGAAAATCTAATTTCTACAGTCAAAATATTCAATGTATAGGCTTTTCTTTGGGGATTCTTAAAATTTTGGTTCACAATCATTATGTTATTATGTTCTGTTTTGATCAAAGAAATGCTTGAAAGGCCCCCACCTATTCCTTCTGTCATGCATATTGATAAAATACATCCTCATTCGATGACTTCATGCTATAATGCAGAAATTTCCCCGAAGGTTTCCAAAAGTGGTATTTTTCCTAACCCACTCTAATGGATGTTCACCTTAAATAGGCTGCCTCAGATTATGGCACTCTTTCTCCTTGGCAAGTGAGAAGAGAGCAGCACTGCCTGCTGGAGACGACACCTCTTGAAACATAATTTGCAGCAGACCTTAAACCTCGAGGAGGGTCCGGCTAGGGATATTTGGAGGACACAGAATAGAGAGGTTGATGCAGATGTGCTTTTTTCTGTTTCCTATTACTTACCTTTTATTTTTTATTTTAAAGACAGAAAAAACAATAAAAATTATCAGTTTTTATTAAGCATTTCTGTTTAAAGATTTCATTCTTAACTAAGCTTTTCTACTTCAGCTCTATCCAGTCTATTATGTTCTAATCTAGTGTGCCTTAGTAGACATTAATAAATATAAACACACTTAATGGTCATACAATTCATTGTATACATAAGTCATTTTGTTTTCCAGTATAAATCTTGATAACTGTAAGGACCAGATTCTGGAAGCAACAGTATATTTTCTGTAACTAACTCAGATGTTATTAGATGCTCACAGATCCTGTCAGATGTCGATTCATGTGTTAAGTTCAGGAATAAGTATTTTTGACTGAATTTCTGTGCTTGGATACCTTCATATTATTTACCTTCATTTTAATGGGTGACATATTTGGCATTTGCATTATAATGATGCTGAAATTAATCCTTGGAAAACAAGCAATCTGATTGAATTGCTTATTCTTTAAAAATCACAATATCTTATCTGTTATTGTTTACATTTTAAAATTACAAAGGTGTGATTTTCATAATATTGGTTTCATTGTCAAGAACCTTTATACTGTGTTTTAGGTGTTAAAAGATTCAAACATCCTGCTGGAATTCCCAGTAAACTTAGCCCTGTCCTTCATCAGGCAAAGGTGGCCCAGGATGCTCATCTATATAACTGACTTTGCATAATGCTAGAGCTGAAGGAAAGTAACTTTAAAAATACACAATAGTGATATATTTTCACTCACCACACCATCTTGACTCTGTTACTTGTCTCCTTGGTGAATTAGAGGTTGCTAATACTTGGTGAGAACTCAGAATACGTGTACCAAGAACTGAAATCCCAATATTATTTTTAACCGACAGCAGGGAAAGAGACAGATGGCTTTTTCCTTCACATATTCTAACAGCAATGAAACTGCTAATTAGAATAAGAGGTAACACAGGATGTTCCCTAAACCTGTTCAGAGAATTGAATTCATCTGGATAATTTATGCCTGATCTCAGTTCTGTTCACTCTAATGCAAGAGCATAGACTATGTTTACACCATCCAGCCGTTGGCTCTGTGTTGCCACTTCCTGCTGCTGCTGTTGACATCATGATTAAATCAATTTATATCATGAAAATTTGGAGTAAGGCTGGCACATATACAAGAGGTAACTTGTCTATGCCTCAACTTCCCCGTTTGTGTTGACACAAGCTAAAGTTTTACTATTTGTTTCCTAACAAATGCTAAAGTTCAGACGGCTTCTCCAACTAAAATTAAAATATATTTCTTTACTTGCATTACCCAGACAGAGAGTAAGTTTTTTTTTATAAGGGACACAATTTCTGTCTCATCAGAGCTTACTAATGTAATTTTCTTTGCTCTTTTTTGCCTCATATTACTAGAAAAGCAGTAGTGAGTTATGCTGTTATTACAATAAATTCTTATTGATTCGAAGGAAGTGAATGACTTTCGTTAAAATTATATTTTAAACATCACTGTAAGATTAATACCTGTTTGTCCAGAAAAGAGCCTCAGAAGATCAACTGCATCAAAATGCACATCACAAACATTATTTCAAACAATGTATTTAATGTGATTAGCTGGCTGAGGCCCAGCCAGTGCTCTGTCAGCAGACTGAGAGTAGAACAAGGAGGCTGTAATTAATGAAATTAATGCCAGATACAGCACCTTGAGACTCGAGGGGACACTTCAGTCTTATTTCACTTGCGCGTTGCAGAATGGAGAGGCAGTTTGGTGGACGTCGTTGTTCTTAGCCTCATGGCACAAGGTTAGATGGAGGTGACCCTTTTCCATGCTCTGGCTTCTAAGACTGTTGGCAGGCATCCTGCTGCACCACTGTCAGATAAATGGGATCAGAAAATTTGGAAAATAAAAATGGTATGATTTAATTTGCTATTTTATCTTCCCTTTCTTAGAAGACATACAAGAAGATTCAGAGCATGTCCAACTCATCACTCTAAAAATAAGGAGCTGTTGGTAGTCAGTCTTCCTCACCTTCTAAATCCAACCAGTTGTCAAATCCTGCTAAGTTCTCTTCCTAAACATCTTTCTGATCTCTCTCCACAGTCATTTGTTTAGACATTGTCAGTTACGACCTCTTTGCTTCATCGTGATCTGATCAGATATTTTCTCCATGGAGCAGCCCATGTGATCTCTGCAAAATACTATCAGATTGTGTCACAGTTTTTGATAAAACACATGAATTACTCCCTACTGAATGAACTAACACATTTTTTCAGATGATAAGTACAATTTCTCTTTTATATACAACACCAACTCTTCCTTATCTCATGGAGGTTTTGCAACACTCAAAAGAAATGGAAAAATCTAACTTTTTAATATGGAAATAGTTTCACATAAGACAACTGTAGTGTCTGAAAGTAAATAAAACAATGACAATAATGAAAATATCAATAATGATAACCACTGATGTTTGTTGAGTGTCCCTTGAAAGAGAATGGGGATTACAAAAAGCATCTTTAAGTCAGGAGAGATGATCAGGTCCTGCTGCTAAAGGCTGTGATAGGGACCAGAGTGCAGAGGGAGAGCAGGAGACCAGGTTAAGAACTGTGTCCAGGGGCTGGGGATTTAGCTCAGCGGCAAAAGCATCTGCCTGGCAAGCACAAGGTCGTGAGTTCGGTTCCCGGTACCAGAGAAAAACCAAAAAAAAAAAAAAAAAAAAAAAGAACTGTGTCCAGTGGGCCTGGGAATGGACGAAATGTGTGGAGGTGAAGTAAGGCATACGTGCAAAAGGTGTACAGAATGTGCATTCTGCTTCTGATGTCCATAAGAAAGTTCATTTAAAAATTTAATAAGTATTTTAAAAGTTCATAGATAGTAAAGCAATGCCATCATGGTAATGGAAAAACCATTTTCATTGCACATGCAGTCTGCTTCAGGGAGACTTGCTTTGACTACATTATATCATTGCAGGAGCGAAAGTTGGGAATGGAAAGGGTTGTAGAATTATGATCAAAAAGTATGAAAATGATTCATGGACTTTAGAAGCAGAATACACATTCTGTGCACCTTCTGAATATATTTTTTCTTTCACCTCATCACACATTTCATCCATCCCAAGAGCCCACCGGACGCAGTTCTTAAACTGGTCTCTCGCTCTCCCTCACAGCCTTTCGCAGAAAGACCTGATCATTTATCCTGAAGTTTGAGCTGTACAACTATGTTAAATCCACCTCTAGTAAAAATAAGTTTAACGTTTACTTTGAAAATATCTATTTTACTCTTGAAAATATCTATGCACATTTCCCTTGATATCATGGTGATGCACACATTTCTTCACCATGATTCTTGCATATTCTCACAAACCTATTAGACTTAGACCTCATAAGATATTACTTTATGGCACGCTGTACTTCTTCCAGCATTCAGAGAGTATTTTACGTACTTAAATTAATGTCTTCAGGTAAATTAAGAAAATATGTATATTATTTAAGGGAAGAGGAACAGTAAATGGAATGTGATAACAACCTATGAATGACGAGGAATTGTCTGCATCAAAGAGAATGATGAATGTGAAATAAAGCTAATGGCTTAAAATTACAGAGGGGATTTTAAAGTAAAGAATAGTTACATAATTTTCTCTTAGTAAAAAACTTTGATAGTGGGCTTAGGTTTGGGAAATTAGCTTAGAAGATGCAGAAATTGTGCCCTCTCCCTAACTGACTTTGTGGAGTAGAATGCTGAGGACATTCAAATTTTAAAATAACAAATAAAGAGTTTGACTACTGTATACCTTATTGTCTTTTAGAAAGGTTATAAAACTACATATTTACTTTAATTACTTTTTTCAAATGATATGTAAAAGCAAAAAGTTTACCTAATTGTGAGATACTATGTGATATTTTGTTTGTTTGTTTGTTTTTGTTTTTGTTTTTGTTTTTGTTTTTGTTTTTGTTTTTGTTTTTTTCCGGTACCGGGAACTGAACTCAAGACCTTGCGCTTGCCAGGCAGGCGCTTTGCCACTGAGCTAAATCCCCAGCCCCCTATGTGATATTTTGATATACACACTTGCATTGCATAATATTTAAATCAGGTTAAACCTGTCTCCACAAACATTTATCATTTTCTTTTGATGAAAGAAGTCAAAATTCTTTCTTCTAGTTTGAAATATATAGTACATTAGCATTTCCTGTAGTTACCTGTTCTCTCATTGTACAAAGAACGTCTTACCCCTGCCTAACTGACACTTAGCACCCACTGACAGCCCTTGCTCCGTGCCTCCTTTTGTCTCTATTCTCCAGCCTTTGGTGACCACCATTCTACTCTCAACTTAGATGAACTCAGTGATTCAGATTCCTTATATGAGTGAGACCACGTGGTACGTTTTTCCACTCTTGAGTTACTGCATTTAACACAGTGATCTCTAGTGCCACATACATTGTCACATATAACAAGATCTCATCCTTTCATGACCAGATACCACTGTATATTATGTCACATTTTATTCATCATTTAATAACAATTAGATTGATCCTATTTCTTGGCAATTGTGAATAGGCTTGCAGGAAAAACCCTTAAATTATGGCTTCATGAATTGACATAACCAAAATTTAAAAATTGTTAGAAAATAAAACATTTAGCAGTTTAAGTGTTTATTTAAATATCTTTTAATCATTCATAACACAGCTTGCAGGTCCATACGTACAGCCTAGTGAAACATTTGAAATGTAGCATGTCATCCTAGATAGAGCTCTGCAGAATAATTCAAAAGAAAAAAGTAAAGTGGTTCCACTACTTTTGAGTGGTATGAACTTTAGTAAATCATGTAATTTCTTTTATGTATAGATTTTTATGTTCATTTTTGTATTTTAGATATTTTTAATTTTTGTATAGGAGTTTTAGCTCACAGAAAACTTGCACAGGAGGTACAGAGTCCTTAGAAATTCCCTCCCTTGTCCCATCCTCCTTCAGCATCCACATCCACCATCAGTGTGGTGCGCCTGTCGTAATCAGTGAACGGCAATGACACATATGTATTGACTGAAAGCCGCAGTTTACATCAGAGTACATGATTTGGTTTGACAAATGTATGACTGCCTGTACCCACCACTGCAAAGGCATACAAGATAATTCACTGCTCTAAAACTTTCTGGTGTCTAACCTAATCTTCCTTCCTTCCCTAACCCTTGACCATGATTGATATTTTTACTGTCTCCATAGCTGCATTTTCCAGAATATTATATAGTTGAAATGTATGTAGTCTTTCAGACTGACTTATTTTAATTAATAATATACATTTAGGGTTCCTCCGTGTCTTTTTCAGGATTAACAGCTCATTTCTTTTATTTCTGACTCCACAGTGAAAAATCAGTTTATTTAGCCATGTACTTCTTGAGGGCTTACTGGCTTCCAAGTATGAGGAACTATGAACAAAGCAGTTAGTGCAGATTCTTGTGTGAAACTAAATTTTCAGTTTATTTGTGAAAATATCAAAAAGTGTTATTGCTGGGTAGTATAGTAAAAGAATGTTTGCCTTTGTAAGAAATTGGCTGTTTTTCAAGTGGCTGTGTCATTTCTGTGTTCTCTTTCCCCAGCAATGAAGGAAAGTCCTTGTTTCTCCAGCAGCATTTGCTGTTGTCAATGTTTTGGATTTTAGCCATCTTGAATAAGGGTGTCTTGGTATCTTATTGTTGCATTAATTTGCAATTACCTGATGACATGTGATATTGAACATCTTTTTGCTATATTTCTTGCTTTATGTATATGTTTTTCAGTGAGGTGTCTGTTCAGGTCTTTTGTTCATTTTCTTAGTATAGTTTTTCACATGAAAAGGAAAATAGTATTTGTGCCATAGAAACTCTGAAAGCAAAAACAACCATCTGAAGTTTTTAGCACAGAATCTAGCATGTAAAGTTTTCCACACAGAATCTATGCAGTAAGTATTGAGTGGTATTATTATACACTGTGTTCACTGATTCATAATACCACATTTCAGTTCCAGGTGGATCAACTCATTTACTGTCCTTGCTTTTTTTTTCTTCTTTGTTTTTTAAGACTTGGACATGTTGTTTTGCAAAATTAAAAATATTGACTATTAATTTTATATATTGTGTGTCATAGCATACTTTATAGAATGTGGGCAGTTCGGTTCATAAACGCCAAAATATTCTGAAAAGATACATATCATAAAATTGCCCCAGAAGGTCACCAGATGATTTGGGAATTTTACTCCCAGACTCTGAATCTCTATATTAAAAGAATGACTATAGATAAACCAGTTTTCACTTTGTAATCTAGGAGAAAATCTAAGGTACCCTAGAAATTGAGGTACATATCAGGATAAACTTACAGTTTCATTATTTTTTTTTCTGAAAATATCATTTTTAATCAGGTCGCTATGTAAATAAAAAGGCATCTCGTATACTATTTGCCTAATCATTTTTGTATCTTTGGCATTTTAAAGTGACTTTTTATATTTTCATAAAATTAAGGTAAATTACAATAATATCTAAGTTGAAAAGTCATACTCTAGGGAACCTTTCAGTAGTTTGGATTTAAATGCTGACTTATTTCTTACTAGAACATTAAATTCCTTTATAAAATTTACATATAAAAGTTAAAGCCAACTATTCATTTTTCTCTAAAAAGTACATATGTTAAAATAGCATATATTTGTGATTGTTACTATTATATAGCCTTTTTATACTCAAAATAAGAGTCACTCAGAAATAGTTCATATAAAATTATAGAGAATATACTTTTCATTTAGGGTCTATAAATAGAATAACAACAAAATTAGAATCAAAATTCTCTGACCTTTTACTGCAAAGTGCAGAGCCTGAACAACTGCTGAATTGCAAATATTTATTCAAGCTCTGTTCTAAGCCTGCAAGCAAACAAAGTGTATTTGGGTTTCTGCCAAGGACATGTTAAAAAATAGCTATAGTTTGTGACTGAAAAAGATGTGGCAGTCTATATTAAAAGTAAGAGTCATAAGTTAGGAGGCAAACAAATTTTAAATTGTCAGATTAAAAATGGCTATTCAGTGTTTTATAAGGTGATCAATGCTAGTTACATGAGGGATAGAAATTGCTCAAAAAACAGATTCAACAGAAGTCAAATACTCAGATGTAATAAAGTACAGCATTAATTTTTCTATAATTTTGTGGATAAATCCAGATAAGTCTAAGCTCTTAGTAACCATCTCTAAAGACACTTTTGTCAGTACTTAGTTTCACAAAGGTTTAAAGAGAGAATGGGTTATCATTAATTGTGATTCATAACCAGTTATGTATTTCCTCTCTGTTCAGAAGTTCTTCATAATTTATATAGTGTTATATGTAATTTATTTTGACATTACTCTTACTTGATTAACATAAATACTGTTAGTATAGGTGTTTTAAAGTCTATTTGAGTTTATGAGTTAAACCAATTAATCCACCGTCATCTAGGAACGGAGAAGGAGTTCAGGGGCACATTAGGCCTGCATGAGGCCCTGTGTTTGATCAGTAGCACAATAAGGCAGTGAAAAAGATATATCGCCATCACCAAAGCATAGAAATTAAGCTGGATTGACATAGTTCAGGTATTTATTGCGTTAATAATTGCA